AGAATATACTCTCTGTTAACTGCTTAAAGAATTTAAACACATGCAGAGCACTTCTAAGGTCTCCTCGGGGTCTTCATTAAGGAGATTATGAACTTAAGGGTTATGAAGCTGTTTAAGAAGTTGACCGTTTCCCACTGTGAGTTCTGGCAGATATGAAGAATAGCTTGGAAACAGCAGCTTATGCTATAATATTACAATTTACCCACAACAAACAAGTCAGAAAAGCTGACCTTATCTGAGAAAACACAAAAAACTACAGATCAGAAGGGTCATCAGACATCATCTTTATACAGGCATGTTTACAGTAAATACATAAACAGAGCCTGTGTTGAGCGCTGGTGTGATAAGAGTCCTGTCTGATTTAGGATGTGCACAGAATTGATCTGCGAGGTGTGAAGGTATTAAACCAAAGATACAGTACATATGCATCTGTATACACTACCGTTCAAAAGTTTGCGGTCAGTAGGATTGTTTTTTTTTTTTAATCAATACTTTTATTCAGCAAGAATACATTAAATTTATCAAAAGTGACTGAAAGACATTTATGTTACAAAAAAAATTATATTTCAAACACGATGTTCTTTTGCTAAAAAATTTATTACAATGTATTTCCACAAAAATTAAGCAGCTCAATCATTTAACATTAATAATATTAATAATAATCAGCTGATTTTTGAAGGATCATGTGACACTGAAGACTGCTGAAAATTCAGCCTTGTCGTCAATAAATGACATTTTACAATATGTTACAACAGAACAGTTAAATAGAAAAATAGTTCACAATATTATGGTTTTGTATTTTTAATAAATAATTTAATTGTATGCAGCCATAAGGCGACCATAAGAGACTCTGATTTTTTTCCAGTCAGTGAACAGTCACTCATTTTATTTTCAGAAATTGAAACAAGATATTCAACAAGACAACAAGTAGGTTTGGATTGGATTTTATTCACTGGCAAATGACTGAATCGTTAATATAACAACGATTAGCGCTACATGTAGGCCTGTTAAGGCAGCTGTATGTAGTTTTAAAGGGGTCCTATTATGCTTTTTCACTTTTTCAACTTTAGTTAGTCTGTAATGTTGCTGTTTGAGCATAAAAAAGATCTGCAAAGTTACAAATCTCAAAGTCCACTTCAAAAGGAGATATTTTATTTAACAGAAATCACTTTTCAAAAACTACAACGAACGACTCGTTTGGACTACAACGCACATTTTCCGGGATTTGTGATATCACAAAGATCGACGAATGGGACGAGACCTGGTAATGAGTGTTATCACTATGTCAGAGACACGCTAGCTTTCCCAAGGCAGACGAACTTAGAGTGGTTACAATCATCCGGGTTTAAAGGGGTCATATGATGCTGCTAAAAAGAACATTATTTTGTGTATTTGGT